CCACCACCAGCCTACCCTCCAGTTTCCCACATTCCAGGCAACTTTCCTTCCAGCCTCTGCAAACTGCTTTCTCCAATGCAGGAAGACATTATGTTTCCTATTCCAGAAACAGTCCTCACCAGGCAGAGGGGTGTGGATCTGAGTGGCTCAGGTCAGAAAGAGCCCTCAGGTGGGTGAGGCAGGTTCACTGCAGCCATGCAAAGTTCACCCCTACACTTGGGCCATTTGAATCTCCTACTCACATGGACACTGTGGGGCAAAGTAAGAGCCCCAGCCATAGAGATGTTGAGCATTCCTCAATTGGAAGAGATAGGTGGCTGAGGAGTACACACATCTACCAGAATCATCTTACTGTCTGTCTTCTTGGGGGACTGGTACCATGGGGCCCCAGGCACTTGTAGACAATGGACCCCTCCTTGGTGTGAGACCATCCTGTTATCCAACTATCAGAGCCTTGTGTTCAATCTTCCATCTGACACTCAGTCCACCTTTGGCATGACTGCCTGGGTACAGATAGGCTACAAAGGATTTCACTGTCCTCAGAATTAACCAAGAGCTTCCCCAGAGCAAACACACTCTTTCAACTGTGTCTGGTTACTATAAAACTTGATCTACAATTTCTTGACTATGGCTGACAACTTTTGTTATAGAAATATGATCAAAAGTAACATTTGGGCAGCTATACTTGAGGGTGCATCGGTCCAAAATTCCTTTTTAAAAGTGTCACGGGATATGTGTGGTATGTACATGCATGAATTCTGCCAGAATTTAACATAATTTTATTATTTCTTCCCATCACATAGGTGTTCATTATTTATGTGGCCTTGCGTTTAGTAAAAAATACACTATTCTCTAATGCTCTCATTAGATGAACGTAAGGAGAGACTTCAACTGAATCCCACCCCATCCCCCAAAAAAGCTCACTATCACAGTCATTTCTGACTGAGGGCAAATCTTTGAAACAGGATAGAACTACCCCCTGCATATTTCCAAGACAGCTACTCTTTAGGGCAGTGGGTCTCAAACTTCCTAATGCCGCGACCCTTTGATACAGTTCCTCATGTTGTGGTGACCCCCCTAACCATAAAATTATTTTCATTGCTACTTCATAACTGTAATTTTGTACTGCTATGAATCAGGAGACCCCAGTGAAATGCTCGTTCAACCCCCCCAAAGGAGTCGCAACCCACAGGTTGAGAACCTCTGCTTTAGGGGCATAGCAAGCCTCATCATTCTCCCTTAGAGAAGCTGGTAGTTTCAAACCACTGACCTTGCAGTTAGAAGCCCAGTGCCTAAGGCCTAATTGAGGAATATTTTCAGCCTGCAGTCAGCAGCAACTTCTGCTCACTGAGGTTTCAGGACCAGTGTGTCTTTCTTTTTCTCTTTCAATAGGGTGGTCATTCATTGTGGTTCTCCAAGCCCTGTTCACTATTGCATTTTGTGTGTTAGTGGGGAACTAACTTGTGTTGAGTAATTTGTAGGTTTTCATCTCAAGAGCAGACCTATCTAGGGCTAATAAACAGACTACAGGATCACTCATCGATCACAGACTCTATCCCAGGCTGGATTCTCTAGAGAAGTAAAACCAGTGAAGCACATGTATGTCCATAGACAGATTAATTTCAAGGAAATGGTTCTGTGGTGGAGTAGCATTTCTCAGTAGCATTTCTCAGTATGGCTCTTCTAGCCATGTCTCTGGCTGGGACTATGAAAGCAGGGTGTGTGTAACAGAACGAGGGAGTTGGTCAGTTGTGGGAAATAGAACTGGGAAGAGAGTGTATGTGGGCAAACTCTCAACATTCATACGTTCAGGAATCTGGGAGGCTGAGCTCCCTGGAGGGAACCTTCACGTTCATGGGTTGGAGATGCATCCCACTCACATTCTCCTAAGTAAAAATCATTCCCACAATGTCCCCCATAATAATGCTACATGTAAGGTGCTGTCTGCAAGCACAAGGTCGCTCACTATACTCTGGAGGGTCAACTGCTTGAAGGTTAGCTGCCTGAAGGTGGTCAGCCATTTAAGGCAATCAAACCCTGTTGCCTGTCCCACCTAATTATGGCCCACTCCCATCTGATAAGGAGCATAAATTGTTCCCCCTGGAGGAGAGCTCAAACCCTCTAAACCTTAAAGTCAAGACAGTT